GTAAGTGTGAGTATGTTTGTTGCTCTTTCGCGCTAAAACAGTTGAACGCATTTTAATGGGGTTTGGCATACAGATAGGCTATAACTTTGATTAACCTATAGGGTATACTTTGAACAGAGCTGCCATCTACAAAAAAGGGAAAATCAATTAATTGGTAAGTTAAATAAAATATAACGACAATCTATACTAATTATATAAAGATAAGCCCCTTTTTTTGTAACAGGTAATCTCGCGAACGGCTGGTCCGATTTTCAAGAAATTTTGGATATAAATAGCTTTCAGTAACCACCATGTTTTATGCTAAAAAAAATTTCCTTTTTTCGGGTAGGTGTACCAGGGACCGATCTATTCGAAAAAATCTTATTATGGTCCGATTTGCTATATGATCCATGTTTTCTGAGAAGTGGACCAGGGACCGATCTATTCGAAGAAAACGTATTTATGGTCCGATTTGCTTAAAATTCGGTACTTAGGTAGCTTTTTGCCTGGATAAGCTTATAGATTCCTGTTTTCCAGTTTTCATGCAATTTCGAATATAAATAGCTTTGAGCAACCACCATATCAAGGGGCAAATTCGTCACTAAGCAAGATGTTTTTGCGCCAATCAGAAACAACGGAGACTGTTAAAATATAATTATAATATGAAATATATCTCAACTAATACATATTTTGAAAGCCGTTTTTTAGTTTTCGCAAGGCTCGAGAGCGGCTGAACCGAATTTTTTGAAACTGTCACCTGCCGCACGTGTCCCAAGTATGGTTTTAGGCTAAAAAAAAATCTATATGTAAAGGGGGCGTGGCACCTCCCATACAAACCGACTTTCTCATGCTACATACCTCTGAAAGTGTGCATGGTAGAGTTCTGGAACTTGGTATGGAGATATACGAAATCAATCGCATACCCTTGGAGAAAAATTTAAGCTATTGTAAAAAGGAGTGTGGCATCTCCCATACAAACCAAATTTTTTATACTACGTATCTCTGGAAGTGTTCATGGTAGAGTTCTGGAACTTGGTATGGAGATATACGAAATCAATCGCTTACTCATGAAGAAATAGGGCAGCTGTTGGAAAGGGGGGCATGGCACCTCCCATATAAATCGAATTTTTATACTATATAGCTCTGAAAGTATTCATGGTACAGTACTGGAACTTCGCATGGAGATATGTATGTAGTTGAAATCCAGCCCATACTCATGGAGAAAATTTGGGCTATTTGAAAAGGGCGTGTGACGCCTACAAACGTACCGACCTTTAGCTATCTTTGAATGTATATTTCTTCTGTGGGTGTGTTTGTGAGTGAAATCCTCCTAAATGGTTGTACGGATTTTAACGAAACTTTTTGTGTGTGTTTGAGTGGGTCTCTGGATGGTTTAGTTTCACAATTTAATCCGACAGTTGGCGCTGTAGTTGAGTTATTACTAAAAATCTTATTTATGATCCGATTTGGCTAATGTTTTAAATATGTATGCAATACTATTGCAAAAACGTGCTGCCAAGTGGTGCTGAAGTCGAGCTATTACTAAAAATAGCCAAGTGAGAAAAGGGGCCGTGAAGGTCAGATTAAATCGACCTGTTGCACCATTGAGTATATCGAACGCTCCTGCGTTGCGATTGGCCCAATGGATGTGATTTTCCAATATTATTATGCGTTCAAACTTTTAAGGTATTTCGTCTGAAATAAGTAGATGTACATTGCATTTCTGTAGAACAATGATCCGCACCCATTCTGAAATTGCCACCAACTATACTGTAAAGCTTCTAGGACATTCACCATAGAACGAGGGCATTGTTGAAGAGGAAAAAATTTATTTCGCTTTGCTAATAACCGTGCTCTGAAATGCCGCACAAATGGAGAATTTCAAGAACTTCTTCACGGATATAACACTTTCCTTAGGTTATTTAAAGCGGCAAATGACCACCAAGCCATAATCTTAGCAGACGAATGTGCCAATGAAAATCGTAAACGTGAATTGTTGATGAAAATGTTGGACCAAAAAGTTTTAATAAAATATATAATAATTTTGGGCGGGACGAAGTTCGCCGGGTCTGCTAGTGTGTGTATAAAAAAAAAAAGTGATTCAAAAATATTTATTTCGCGAATATTTTTTAAAAGCGTTGTCATCCGTCCGAAAATTTAAAACCCATTTAATTAACAAATTTAACGAAATATTTTAATATGGGTATGGAAGAACAGAGGTTAAAGAAAGACTTGTCTTGTCTTCCTGTTTGGAAATTCAAAATCAATTTAATTAACAAGTTAAAAAAAGTAGCTTTGTATGGGTATCAAATGAGAGAGGTTTAAGAAAGATTTATTTCGAAAATATATTTTAGTCCAAAATTCAAACTCAATTTAATTGACAAATTTCAAATAAATCCTACTAATACTATGAGTGTAAAAGTTTGTGCGTGTTTTCTGCTTTTTGTTTCGAAAGTATTTGTGAAAGGGGTTGCTCGAAGCTCACAAACCCCCGGCTACGTCGAAATAAGTTCGAATTATACAAAACAAAAAAAAAAATCAACACAAGTTATATTTAAGAATGCAGTAGGTGCAAAGATCATACAAAAATCCTACGTTCATTATAATAGCCATGAGCAGCCTCACGCGGCTAATGGTTGCCTGGGTAGCCCTCCTATGCAGCAAAGAAATTCGCTACTTTTTTACTTTGTTGTTAATTTTTATTTGGAAGCCAAATTCGTTTTGAACTTTTATGCATGTACATATATAAACCTTGTTTGATTGATTAACTTGATATCGAAAGCAAAATAACTGATACCTATATGTTTGGTTGCACATACATACATATGCATGCACATATGTATGTGATAGACACATAGGTACGTACATATATGCGATAAGAGGACAACTGGGGCTCTAGTAGAAATGCTGTAAATATTGCGCCATTTCTAACTACATAACTACATACCTACATATGTATGCGAATGTGTATAACTTACATAAAAACGCTTTGTTGCTTCATCTAAAAAGATAGCATTTCGTGGCACTCAACCGTGTTTGGCCTTTAAACGGTGTTGTTCTTTAGCGGATTTTACTGTTTGTTTTTGCTTGTATTTTTGCTTCAATTTCGATTGAATTGTTTTATCTGCTTGTTTTCTTTTTGCATTACAGATTTGGCATTTTTAAAGTTTTGTCGGTGTATTAGTTTCTGTTGCTATGCATGTACATATATTTTATACCTACAATTGTAATGCCGAATGAAACCATCCTAGTCTATCAATGCCTTAAAGGCAAATCATTAATCATGATTTAGGTTCATCAAGTGATTAAATGTCAAGAATGAAAAATTAAAAACAAAACAGGAAGACGAGGGCTTAATGACGGGAAAATATTTGCGCTGCCAATAATTTCGAAAAAGCGTGGAATTTTGGGTAAAAAACCAAATGCTTTAGGATGTTAAAAATAATGAAGATGTATGTATATTAAAATGTATCACTCCCCATACAAAAAAAAAAAACGGTACTGTTTTCCATTGGAATTATAAAATCTATTATATTTTAAGACTTTCAATAAACAGATATTACAACCCGAGTGAACTCATACAATGGCGGTAATGCATTTTTCCACCATTATGTTTTTTAAATGAGATAGAATTTTGTGCATCAATAAAAATGTCTTTTTTTTTTTTAAATATAAGCAGTTCATTCTACAACAAAACCTACCTATATAAATCAAAGTTTTAAACTTTGTGCAAAATTTATAATAATTCATAAAAATTTCAAACTTTGAATGGCCTCGTTCTCGTTGGTTTGTGAATTTTTTTTTACGGTATTTCGCAGCTTTTCATATCAACCATGCTTTTTATATGAAGAAAATGCGGAGCGCATCGTACAAAAAAAAAATGTCAAAGATCAAATAGAATTTTGAGCTCCTTCGACACTTTTATATAAAAATTAAATGAGCTATAAATGGTTATTAGGACTTTTATTCAAAATTTTGATTAAAAGAAATTTTCTTTTAAATAAAAATTTTTTTTTGAAAATTATTATTTTTTTTTAATTTTGTACAAATTTTGAAACTTTGGTTTATATGGCTTTTGTTCTATCTATTATGAACTATATACCTTACAAAAATATTAAGCTTTTCAACGCTTTTCAACACTATCGCATTGGCTAACGCAAAATTACTTTGAGATACCTTAAAGCGCGTCGGGTATTTAACTAAATGTTTTTGTATTGCAAAACATGCAAAAAGTTATGTTATTTTCTAATATTTACTAAAACATTGCTTTTGTATACTCCTCCCCGACCCACAGTGTTCTATTTTGGAAAAAACTGGTACAAAATCAAACATCTGCGGTTACGGTGTATTAATGATTTCGAAATGGAGAATTCGGGAAAAATAGTCTCGTTGGATGAAACAAATACTTAGACTCTGAAAACAACCTTCAAAAATAGAAAATTTGTGTTCTTGCGTCAAGTTTTAAATTTTTTAAGATACATAGCATGGTTTATGTAAAAAAATGTAAATATAAAAACTTTTGTTTCTTAAGATCAAGGTAATTTTTTTGTTCAATCCGACTTCTAAAATCACCTTCAAAAGTAGTTTTTTTTTTTGGTTTTTTTGCTTTCAAAAACAGCTGGTAATGAATTATAGAAAAAAATTAACTACGTTTTTCGGTTCTTGCGACCATGTAAATGGATTCGTTGACGCAAGTATAGTGGAAGCGTGTATTTAATTTTTTTTTAAAGTTCATCGCATACTGGTTTCAGGTACAGAAAGAAACTTAAACTCTTCTATTTTTAAAGGTCATTTTAAAGGTCAAGACAATTATTTTATCCACCATGAATACTGCATATAAAAAGCTTTATAATACCGTTACACTTCTTTTGCTATCTCTTCTCGTTATCGAGATTTTTTTGATTTTGTCCCTTTTTCCAAAATAGAACACAGTGCCACCAAAGGAAGAAAAATGGTGCTGTAGTGAATGAGCACATATCTTTGTATATGTGTATGAAATTTTAGTTTCTCTTTGTACTCACCTATCGACCGCTATGGCAACTAAATGCAATATAGAAGCTGTACAGCACAGCACATCGCACGATGTCCAAATGTCGCAGAGCTCCGGTCCAAGTATCCAGCCTTGGCTTATCTTTTGTGATTGGAAGTGTATGGCACGTTCGCAAAGTTTTATGTTTTTGTTATTTTGTTAACATGTATGCGTGAGTTCGTCGCACGAGCGCGTATTTCCACAAAAGTTTTTTGTAGCATTCAACATTTTTGTGAAGTTTTAACAATTGGTGTCATAATAGGGTGGATGTAAGGGGAGAATACCAAAAAGAAAAGAATATTAGTGGTGTGAGTAATATTTAAAAGTGGTGACCATGTGTGGAATACAAATTGCATACATATAACAGTAAGAGCAAATGTGTGAAAATGTGCGAAGTGTGTGTGTAAACTAGTAAAGTATAACATAGTGAAAGTTGCTAAATGATGGCAGAACAAAAGGACTTTTGACTGAAAAAGAAGAAAGTTATTGGAGAGTTAGTTAGTTAACAATAATAAATTAGTATTTCTCTGGTGACTTTGACAGTTTTGGGTAGAGCTGCTGGTTTCAGAAATTTTATGTTGTTGTAAGCAATCGTAGGGGTTTTGACAAAATCTCGCCATAAGCTTCAAATTATTTGAATAAATTATTTTAGTAAGCTAATAAATGCTTTTACTTCAGATCAGGTTAGCCTGGCTGGTCAACAATGAGCTCATAAGACTAAAATGATGACTCAAAATGCTGCTTGGGAGATTTAGGAGGCATAAACGAGTATTATACTTGCAGTAATTTCTCAATACTTTGGTTTAGGGAGGTTGGAGTTTTTTTATGAGAAGTTTGATGCAAACTGCCTGCCGCGAGACCTTAATAAGCCTAACAGGGCAACTCTGGCAACTATCTTTCAACTGACTGTGGTCTCTCGAAAGACAAAAGTCTTTCGAAAGAAAATTGTCAATTCTGGAAATTTACTGTCATCCGAAAGACTAATTGAAAGATCTGCTAGCGAGGAAGTCTTAGCGTTTATGCTATTGGGCTTTGAGCAATGAGTTTTTAAAAATTAAATTAAACTTAAAAAAATATATATTGTTTTCTTTTTGAAATAATAAAAAAAAATCAATAAAAGAAAAGTAAATTAAATTAAATTAAAACAAAAATAAATAAAAATATAAAACAAAAATAAATAAAAATATAAAAAAAATCTAAAAATTAAAAGAAAAAGATAATTAAAAAAGAAAAAACTTAAATAAAAAAAGAAAAAAAAATTCTGGTGCTGAATGAGAGACTTTTTTTCTAAGAATTTTCTGCTAGAATAACAAAAGTCTTTGGAACTGTTTTGCCTTTCTTTTGTCTTACGAAAGACTTTTTACTAGAATTGCAATGTAAAGCTCAACCAATTTGTAGTTATCTGAAAATCTGTAAGACGGACCCGGTTCCTGTGTCTGTTCTAGAGTCTTGTGTTAAACATGAAACCCGCTCTGTATAAGCCGAATTCTGTAGGAGGCGAAAATATGCACAAAAATCTGTCGTCGTTCGGAGGCGGCAACATCGCACAACACAAATTGAAGGAGAAACTCGGTCCAAAATCTATTTTCATGCTGATACTCAGTTGGTATTGAAACTTATCTTTATCGTTAATGACAACTTTGCCGCAAATTCATCTCAACTGAGACGTCGAAATATTGCTCGTGGGGTATTCACTTTTATAGGCCTATTCTTTGTTCGCGAAACATAACCAAATTTCAATTATTTATGTATGTATTACACTATGACCATGACCGTTCGTGTTATATTCAACTCTGCAACTCCAGGTAGGAAAGAGATGGAGTAAGGGGAGTAGCCTTTAAAATTGTTTGCCAAGATAGGTGCGTGCATACATACAAAGATATACACTAGGCGACAAAAGAAAGTTTACTCCTTGTTCAAATATAATATTCACCATTATTTTCATAATATAAACAATAAAAATTTGTTGCATTAGTTATTTATGAAAATATAGTTGATTCTATAACATAAAGCATATAAATCAAAGTTTCACACTTTATATAAAATTAAAAAAAAAAGTCAAAAGTGTTCAGAAATCTTTCAACATTTTATTGCGCATTTCCAGAAAAATTTTTTATGACCATTTTCCTGAATTAATTTTATAGTTATATAAATTTCACAAAAATTCAAAAAATCGTCATCAAATTTTTCAGCTTTTTATTCAGAGCTTTTAGAAAACTTTAGAGTAAGTAGTTTTGTAGCCCATTTAATTTTAGTATAATGCAGTGAAAATTTCAAACGGCTGAAAAATCCCCTGATTTTTTTTTTATTGTTTTTTTGTGGTGACGGACTTTTGCACATTTTTCCATAAAAGCATAAATATCTTATGAACTAAACTGCGTGAGACCGTTAGCAACAAAATTTTAAAAATTCTACGCCAAGGTTTGTAAATTGCACTTGCTATATAAAAAAACTCGAAAGTAGTCTCTAAAAAAGAAATTCTCAAAAATCAATGCGATTTGGTAGCCGGCTGAAACTTGCAATAAATTTTACTGCTTACTCGAAAGTTTTCTAGAAGTCATTTTTTGAATTTGTGTGAAATTTATATATATATATATATATATATATATATTTGATTTGCATGGTTTATATTTTTGAATGAACTATATTTTATATAAATAATTAATGCAAAAAAATTTTCATTAAAAAATTGCGAATATATATTCGAACAAGGTGTACACTTTCATTTGTCGCCTAGTGTATATTTACAGAATACTTTTTCTTTTTCAAGAATTCAAATAAGTTACAGGTTGACTACAAAGATGAGTTGTATGTTAGAAATGTGGGTACGCCTCTGAGTTTTCGGCTTATTTAAAGTAGCATGGAATGCACGAAAAAAAAGAATGTACAACCTTATAAGATTGTGTGTTGTTGGCTGATTTCTAAGGAATATCTCAAATATTTTAACAGAACTTGAGGAATTGGCATTCGGAAAGGTATAGTTTATAAAATTCAAAAGAAAATTTAATACTTCACAAATTCTTGCTGAATACAGTGCACATATATATGTATGTATATAGTAAATACAAGGTAGACAAATGTTTTACCATGCCAAGTGGGCATTTTAGTTAAGTAGAATTCTGTAATACCAAGTGCACTTTCAAGTGCCCAAGTTGGCGAGCTCTAAATGCTTATGAAATATAAGAATAAGTTTGTATGTACATATTTGAGGTCAAGTGTAGCAATGAGCAGCAACAGTTAGAAAATTTCAGCTTTACAAGTAAAAGTAGGTTTAAGTTATTTGGAGAAAATGCTTAGCACCGCCTTCTAAATACTTGAATGTATCTTAAAGCGTCTCGCCAATAATGTAAGCAAAAACTTTCTTAACGCAACGAAAATTTATGCATGCAACTCATTTCATTTCATTTATTTTGCTCCGAATAAATAACATTGTGCGAATTTCTTTTTTTTGTGTATTCGTCTTCATTTTTGCATTCACTTCGCTTACCTCGTAGACGGCGCCCAGTGGCATCACCAGACAGGCAACGAATAGATCAGCAACAGCCAGCGATGCAACCAAATAATTGGCAACATTCTGCAAGTTACGTTCCAATATGATGGCAGCAATTACAAAAACGTTTCCTATTGATGAGCAGTGGCAAAAGTAGAGCAGCGTAAAGGAGTAGTAAGTGGATAGATAATAATGAAAGAACAGCAGCGGCGCCAGTTGTTCGAAGACGGTTGTCGTTGGTATTTTGTGGAAAAATTTGTTAAAAAATTCACGATGCATTCACGAAGATGTTGAAGTTGCACATGTGCATGTAGACACAAATGTACGCACAAATGGTGTAATCGATGTGTGGATGGATAAATGAAGCATTCAAGTGTAAATTCGTAGTAGCATTGTTGTAGATTTTTGGAGACAAATGTGTAGACATGAAAAGAGAATAATGGTAAAGAATGAACACACAAATGTATAAATACTTGGGTATGCATTAGTATTAAACTTATTGACTAAAAGAGTGTATTTTTTAATTACTGTAGTTATATTTACAAACCGATATATGTTTTACTTTATTGTAAACGCAGTTTTACAGAATATTTGAGCTCATCAAAGTAAAATCCCACATAATTTTTTGGTAATCTAAAAAAACGCATTCAGATTTTTAGGTAATTTATAAACTTGACATGACCTTTAATTATGTAAAAATTGCACACAAACTTTTGGCCATTAAAAATGGACATGGATTTTTTGAAATTTAAAAATTGGAAATAAACAGTTGGTACCTACATTTAAAAAATGTATGCCAAAATTTGAAATGAAGCCAAACCCGAGAGATTAGCGATTTTTTGCTAGCACTCGATAGGACCGAGGTTCGATTGCTGAAAATTTTGGTCTCGAAAATTACCATTTTTTAGGTGAACCTAAAAAACTTTCTCATTAAGAAGCACACCAGGAATCGGAGGTAAAGCTCGGGCAAACGTTCAACAGAACCGCAAGGGCCAACATTTTTTTTTTGAAAACATGTAAATTTTATGTCCATTTTTGAATGCACAAAAATTTATTTTCAGTCTTTAAGTGACCAAGTACTTACTCTAAATAAAAAAGAAAACTATAAAATTTCTCTAAATAAAAAAAATATATGCCCAGTTTTTTAGTTGCGAAAATTTGTGATTTGTGGTTAGGTCATTCGTAAATGAACAAAAACTTGTCTCCAGTATTTAAGCAACTAAAATGAATGTCGAGTTAAAAAAAAAAAATAAAATTCACTCAGTATTTGAGTTGAAAATACATGTCTAGTTTTTAAATGATCCCAAACATATATTCCCAGCACTTAAATAACTTAACAATATGGCGAGCTTTTATAAACAACAAATAAAGGGTAGTTTTTAATAAAAAAAAAATTTTTTACAAATTTTCGAATTGCAAAAATTTATCTTAAATTTTTGAGTCACCCAAGCCTGCCGCCACGATTTCAATATCCCAAATTTATGCCCATTATTTTTGTAAAAAAAAAAATTTTTAACCAATTTTTAAACTGACGAAATAAAAAATTAAATAAATATTTTGTTTGCCCAAATTTCAAATTGCAAAAATTGAGTGATAAAAACTTGTCGCCACTAATTAAATATCCAAAAGTTTTGTCCAGTGTTTATGTAAAAAAAAAAACTCTTTAACCAGTTGTGTCCTGTTTATAAATGACCAAAAACTTGTTTCAATTATTGAAATAACTAAACTTGACGCCCAGTTTTAAAATAAACAAAAGTGTAAAGTCAGTAATTAGTAAATTTATGTCCAATTTTTAAATGTCGAAAAACTTTTTGCTAGTATTTAAGTATGTCCAGGTTTAAACACACAATTAGTCCTCAGGTTAGCAAAATACATGCCCAGTTTTTAAACTACTAAAATTAATACCCAAAGTTTTTGTTTAACAAAAACTAATACATAAATCACTGCACTTCCATGCGTATTTATAAGCACTTCGATCCCAGTCCCTCGGGTATTTGCCATTGTGTACCGTAATTGTATTTGTCTAGTGAAATTAATACAAATGACTACGATGACATACTCATACAACTGCCAATGTGTCAATGCCTTAATCTGCCAAGCGCTGACATGACTTTGACAACACTGAATCCAGTATTGATGATGCGGACAGCGTCACCGCTGACGAAAACACTGGTAATTGACGAGAATAGCAATCGGGAAAATCCATTTGCCGGCACAGTAGTCAAATCACTAATGCAGATAAAATGGATAATTTACGATGATTTAAGTACGAGTATTACAATTTTTACGCAAATACAAGAACGTATGTCTGTACATATAAAAAAATTTAATGGTAGTTACAATTACATTAATATTTACTTTCAAAATATAAACGGTTCGTAGTATTTAATCAGACTTAGTTGACTTTTCTTGAAACTTAATGGATGAATCGTAATGAAACGTATGCTGGGACTTTCACAGAAGATTTTTATAGGAGACTCGTTGTAAATAGTCCTTCGCAACTTTTAGCCAAGATTATTTTAAAGATTACTCTTAATAAACTGAATTATTTACTATAAAAAAAGACAAAAGCTATTAGTTTACTGCAAAGAAAGCTGCAAAAGCGCTAAATGAAATCCTCAATTGAATTCCAATTGATCTTCACCTGAAACAAGTAGCTGTGAAAACGGCGGCCACACTCAGAGAGTCAGGCCTTTGGGAGACTAGACACTTCGGACATGGGTTGATCATAAACCAAATGCAATTACTTAATTAGGCCGACAAAATATATAAATAGTAGGCAATTTGGCCTTCAGGTATAACGTGCAAGTGTTATTCCCATCCAGAGAGGCGATCTCTCTACACAATGACGGTTCCAAGATAGACTGCTGTGTAGGAACGGGAGTCTACTTCGAGGGACTCGGTGTGGCTCTCTTTCTACGGTTTGGAAATTCTACAAGCATCTTCCAAGCAGAAGTTCTAGGGATACTAGAAGCCTGTAAAATCCTTGGCAATAGAGTTGGGCACAAGAGTAAAGCAACAATATACTCTGACAGCCAGGCGTCGCTATTGACAATAGCGTCACTGGTTACCAAATCTAAGCTGGTTAGGGAATGCAAACTGCAATCAACCAAAGAACTTCCTAATTGTAAATGTTTAGGAAGAATTTGGTGGAGAAATTTGGAGAGCTTTGATGACGTAATTAACATTAAAAGTTTGTGGATAAAGTAATTAGGTATTTCACCGGAAATACAACCGGATAACGTGGAGCCAATCATACTGAAACAGGGTGAAGGTTGTGGTCTTTCCATCTGCATTGGTGGTTCAGATTTTGGAGTTACCCTTATATGTATGTGAGCGTGTCAGGCAGTGTATTGTAAGTACCCCAGCTAGTATTTTGCAACAAAATTTGGTATGTTTTAGAATCTATATCTTCTATACATAGTAAACATAAAGGAAAGTCCGAGATTTTTGTACGCGGTAATCTCGAAAATTACTGAACGGATTGTGACGAGATTTTATGAAATATACTCTGTATCGATAGGAGAGTGACCTTTTTTACTTAGAATTTAAATAGGGTTGCCACCTGTTTAAAAAACTATAAAATCCGCATCGTTCGTTGGATTACAAAAGATGAGGTGTCAAATAAAAGGGATTTGCCTCTAGAAAAGCACTAAGGTTTTTTTTCATGGGGTTGCCACTTGTTATTAAAATTACTATATTCAATTATAATAAGCGTAGGCATCAGTTCTGTACCTTCACTGTCAAAAGATAAGACTTAACCTCTACATGCACAACAATGTATAATTTTTCTGAGTAGGGTTGCCACCTATTCAAAAGTATAAAGATTTTCGCCGTTAGTTGGATTACAAAATGAGATACCAAATGAAAGGGCCTGGCCTTCGCATGTACAAACGCTTTCATTTTTTGAATAGGGTTACCACCTATTTAAAAATTACTATCTTCTATACACAGTAAAAAAGAAAGTCGAGATATTTTGACCACGCTAATCTCAAAAACTGCAGAACGGATTTTTACGAGATTTTTTAAATATAATCTGTATCGATAGGAATATTATCTTTGGTACTTTAAATTCCTAACGGGTTGCCACCTGTTTAAAAAATTATTAGATACACACTGTTCGCCGGATTACAAGAAATGAGATATAAAATAAAAGGGATCGGCTTTTAGATGTTCAATAATGTATTACTTTATGAGCAGGGTTGCCACTTTTTAAAAATTTAAAGGGTACCTAATGAAAGGATATGGTCTCTGCATGTGAAATAAGTTTTTATTTTTGTTTGAGTGGGGTTGCCACCTACTTAAAAATTATGTATATATAATACGCGAGAGTATTTTTTATACCCGAGCGCAATTGTGCACCAGCTCGAAGAGCCAGAGACCGCGGGCTTGCGCAACAGATCAATAGAGGCTGCGTATAACATGCCATAAGCATTTAATAGTGCCTACGTTTAGGCACACTTAATGCTAAGCTATTTAGTGAAATCCAACATTTGCAATGGGCACAAATGTAAAGCATTTGAACCCCTTAGCTTTATAGCCGACAGAAGTGACGTAAATTTTTAATGGAAAATTTCACTAAGGACGTGATGTCTTGATTTGGCACCACAAACAGTACGTCGCTTTGGCCAAAGGCCAAAAATATTTATAATTTACTTTTTTCCGGGCAAAGTTACGCCCATTCGCACCAACTTTTTAGGCCCTTATTCCATTCCCATGAACGGGCGTAATTGGTTTCTTTGTACGTAAATGTTTGCTAAGAGGAAATAAAGTCGAAATTCCATAAAATATTTTTGCACTTTAATATCGCTGCTTATTCTTGAACTTAAGTTTCAGTAAATTTAACTAAAAGTCACGCTTCCTGAAAAAAGATTCAACCCTTTTTATGATTTCTCTCGCATACTTACTTCAAGTAAAACATATCTCTATTTAAAAACTTTGCTGAACTTTATAACACCATCATCTCAGAAATTAAGTTTGCCTCCATTTTTTTTTTATAAACTTTATTGCAATTAACGTAGCTTTAACCCTTTAATGAGCGGAACTTAAAAGCGAACTTAGCCTGTGAACTCTTAAGTAGGTTTTCTTTTTTTTTCGGAGTCCTTAGCTGCTGTGCGCATTTCACAAATTG